GGCAATGGTTTGAAAAATAAACTTGGAAAAGGCATGTCATCAACATTAACTAGATACAAATGATTAGTTGTTATACTAATTAATGGATGAATTGTGAACATTCTAACAATGAATAGCAAACCCAAATAATTATTCTATACACGAGAATGTTGTCAAAAGTATTATGATGGTCGAATCTCTTCAAAAAGTGTCATCCAAAGCAATTAGTCATTTAAGTATGAAGATAACAGGTCTTTCTCTAATTTTAGGAAAGATGAGAGCCTATTCCATTCTCACAAAAAGTTCAAATAGGAAATCATTAGCTAAGATTATTACGGGAGATAGTTTATTACATTTTCGTTGAAAATGACGAGGGCGGGAATATGAGGGGAGCATTGAAAGTACTAACTATCATCATTAAAGCTCCTAAACATGAAATAAAGAAAAGGAAAGAGGCACGTGGGGTTATGAGGCTAGGGTTTGAAGCTACTAAAGAAAATAATAATAAAAGGTTTAGCCCACTGTAATATATATGGTAAGTTTACATAATTTGCAATGCACACGTTTTATTAAGGTTATTTTTTGTTTTTTTTATTTTTATCTTTATCATTAAATAATTTTATAGGATGATTTTTGGTTAAAATGCAAACTTTTGAAACTATTTTCATTAGTTTTTATTTTTCTATTCCTCTTAAACCATGTTTCTTGTTTTAATTTGATGTATTCTATTTGTTGCATAAAAAATATATATAAAAAACCGAATAATGCGTTTGCATAGAGAGGTTAGAATAGGAATTGGATCCTCTCGAGACAATGCTCAGGATTCCACTAATCGGACAACATGAACTGTTGAATTTTGATCCAACGACTACAAATAGAGTGTCCTTTTAAAATTATAATAATTGTAATTGTTGGATCAAAATTCAACGGCCCATCTTGTCCCGTCAGTGGGATCCGAGGCATTGGCTCGGAGAGGATCCAATTCCGTTAGAATATTCATAGGAGTGGAATCGGTTTTATGTCAGTTTCAAGTTTGTCAGACAATGTCAATAATTTAATAATCATCAGCACCAGCAGCACCTGAAGAAACGTATTACCTACTACCACTCCGCAGTTTGCGGTCTGCAGTCAAAAATCCAGAGGAGGAAGGAGAGGAGAGAGACGAATAATGGAGAAAACAGACGCCATCGATGGAAAAGTTGACGAGGCTTCTTCTCGTGAGGGTTCCGTTTGTGGGTACGACTCACTCCATCACCTCTTGAGCGCCAATCTCAAACCCCATCTCTTCCAGGTGATCCATTTTCTCATTTATTTGATTCATTCTTTCAATATTTCTGGGCTGGGCTGCCTATCGATTCTGGAGTGGCTCAACGATTCCGATCAGGATCTGCTTTTCAGATTTGCACGGTGGATTGTTCTGTTCATTACCAAATAGGAAAATAACTCAGCTAATCCAGTTGTTCATATCCTTCCTTTTATACAAGTGAAGCGATTGTCTAAGACTACGGGAAGGGAAATTCAAACTCGAGTGCACAAACATTTGTTCGTCAAATTTATTTAGAATATAGTATCTCTGTTGACTCTAAATACCATTTACATTAAATTGGCTGTTAATTTGCTTGTTTGGCATGGTTGCTACCTGAAAAAAAATTGGATGTGTAATGGCGTTATAAGATTCATACAGCGGACCTCGCTTAGCAAGATAAGGCTTGGTTGTTGTTGTTTGGTGGTGGTGGTGGTTGTTGTTGTAATGTTATTGTATTCTTCTGTTTCTCGTTTCCCTTTCGGGAATTGAATTTCTAAATACTGATCCCGGAGTGAATTAAAATTCTTGCAGCTTCCGTTTAAATCAGATTATATCACTTCCGTGATAGTTGGTTTTATTTGTTATTTTGCATTGAACGGACTCGGACATGTTATGGCTTATCTTTTTTTATGATGCAATTAACTTTTTCAGGAAGTCAGCCGTATTCTTTTGGGTCTGAATTGCGGCAAGGCACTTGAAACAATTTCTCTCCCAGAATCTGCTAAGGCTCTCTCTTCAGGACATGATTTTGACCTCCAGGTAGGAAGTTACTCTTAACTTTTTTTTGCGATGGCATAACTGTACCGTTCACATACGAGTAATTCACAATCAATGGAGGTCTGCTAAGGCTCTCACTGCAATTTGCAAAAGTACATCAAGGCGTATTGAGTCTCGAAATTGTTATGGAAATCATCTCTTTGTTACCCTTTAGCTCATTGAGCTTTTCTTTTATGCAAATGTAATGGAGTTTTTATACTTGTGCACTTTCATATGGCTTATCCTGAAATCAATTTCTCCCTGACTAGTCTGAATTTTTTTATCCATTCTTTCAGGCCTACTGCTTTCTTGCTGACAAAGAGTTGTTGAGAGAACCCCGAATAGTTAGGGTTGGTCTAATTCAAAACTCAATCGCTCTTCCAACTACTGCCCACTTTTTGGACCAGAAGAGGGCAATCTTTGAGAAAGTAAAGCCAATAATTGATGCTGCAGGTGCTTCAGGTGTCAACGTGTTATGCTTGCAGGTTGGTGCCCTTGTGCCATGTTGGGTGAAACTCTTTCTGATTAATTTCTACTGGTGTCTGATAATTTCAAGCGAATTCATTTCAATTTAACACAGGAAGCATGGACAATGCCGTTTGCCTTTTGCACGCGGGAGAAGAGGTGGTGTGAATTTGCAGAGCCTGTAGATGGGGAATCAACGCGATTTATCCAGGATCTTGCAAGGAAGTATAACATGGTCATTATAAGTCCAATTCTTGAGAGAGATGTCAATCATGGAGATACTATCTGGAACACTGCAGTCATAATTGGTAATAATGGAAACATAATTGGCAAGCACCGAAAGGTAAGCGAATTAGTTTATCTGTTGTTATGTTATACGTTATATCTTTTCTGTTTAATGCATACTAAAGAATGGTAGCGGACAGAACCATATACCAAGAGTTGGCGACTTCAACGAGAGTACTTATTATATGGAAGGGAATACTGGGCATCCAGTGTTCGAGACGGCTTATGGAAAAATTGCTGTTAATATATGCTATGGAAGGCATCATCCTTTGAATTGGTTAGCATTTGGCTTGAATGGTGCAGAGATTGTTTTCAACCCTTCCGCCACTGTGGGTGAACTCAGTGAACCAATGTGGCCCATTGAGGTTAACTATTGCTCATCTGTTTCATTTTCACGCGTCACTGCTTTGCTTTAATTTCTCTCATTTTAATCTGCAAATCCATCTGGCCTGAACTAAGTTACTGTTTAGTGTTTACTCATTCTTCATTTTATAGGGTCCACTATTTCTTCCCGTAGTCATCAACTAACACACGGTTGGACTGTTCTGTGTTATAGGCTCGTAACGCTGCAATTGCAAATAGCTACTTTGTTGGATCAATCAACCGTGTAGGAACTGAGGTTTTCCCAAATCCATTCACTTCTGGTGATGGGAAGCCAGGGCATGCAGATTTCGGGCATTTCTATGGATCCAGCCATGTTTCAGCCCCAGATGCCTCGTGCACTCCATCTCTTTCACGCCATAGGGATGGCTTGTTGATCTCGGACATGGACCTCAACCTCTGCAGGCAGTTAAAAGACAAGTGGGGATTCCGAATGACTGCTCGTTATGACCTGTATGCAGACCTGCTTGCTCGTTACGTGAAGCCGGATTTTGAGCCCCAAGTCATTTCCGATCCCTTGTTGCATAAGAAGTCTCCCTGAGTTTTAGTTTCAAGTAGGCATGCAATCTGAACATGTAACATGTGATTTCAAAAAATGCATTTGTAAGAATCCATTTCTCATCAGTTTCAAAATAAAAGTGTTGGGTATCTGTAGAATCCAGTTCCTACAGATACTTCCAACTGAAGTTTTCTTCAATAGCCCGTGAGCAGTCCTGGAAGTGAACGGTGAAGATTGACTAAAACAAATGCAAAAGTATACATGAGCAGTCGAAAAAAAGGCGAGAAGGGATGAAAATCACCATCATCAACACCAAATCAATATAGGTAGTAAAACTGCTTAATTGGGTTTAGGCCTAACTAAAGTTTAGTCTAAGATTACAGTTTTGAGTTAAAAACCGAACCAAACTGGGTGAATTAGTTCGATTCGGCTGGTGGAGCGGGTTGGTCCTTTTTGCTTTATCCCCAAAGATAGAGGTGTACTTTTTGAGCCTAAAGCATCATCTCCGGATCTTTTGGTAAGATCTTGAGAATTCATGAATTGTATCCGTTCATCGTTTAAATAAAAATATTTAAAATGATTTCTGACTGGACGATGTACGACATGATTTACGAAGCCCTAAAATCCTCACAAAAAAAATTCGGCGAGGATTGAAACTCTTTTTTTTGGAGAAATTCTAATGTACAAAATCAAATGGATATACCATGTCACCGTGCTGTTGTGGCACGTTGTATTATCTTTTATGATCCATGAGGTTGTTGTATACAGAGTAGCGCATAAAAAAATTCCTCTGATCTTATTATAAACCTTGAATTTTTGTTAGTGCTTTGTAAATTGAGATTCTAAAATTTTTAACTATTAAATATTTGGTAAAAAAGCACAAAAATAAAGATTTTACTGTTAAAATTTTGAAAAACCTTTTTTCCTTTTGGTTGCTTGCTTTTGAATAAATAATTGACATTATTTTCAGCAGCATATACTGCATTCTATTTGAGTGTGATACTTCTGCCCACCGTAATATTTTTATGTACAACTTATTAGATTTAATTTTTTTTTGTCATGTTACAAATTATAAGTAAAAGGTTTTAGATTCAATTATCGATAAAGACGAATTTGAACTACATTATTACTAGTTTATTATGAAACTTAGTCTACCTCTTTTGATATCATTTGTTACAAAAAAATCCATTTGAATTTCATAAATGATTGGCTTATTGTTTTCATGTTGTTCTATCAATTGAACATCACGAGTGTGTAAGACGACCTTATCCACTAGTTTGGCGGCCACAGCGGCCCCTCTCGCCCCTCTTTTTCATGCACAAAAACAAGACGCGCGCACGCACCAACGCAACACATATCCTCCTTCTCTCTCTCTCTCTCTCTCTCTCTCTCTCTTGCTGTATCAATGGCTTCCGTATCTGCTCCCACCCCAAGTCCTCACAAGCTCAACTTCCCCAACCCCAAACCATACCCCTCCTCCGTCGCCAAAAGAGCATTCTACCCTTCCTCCCATTCCCAAACCACCTTCTCCTCGAGGTTTCCCGATTCGTCCCTCTGCCGATGCCAGAAGACCCCTTCTTCCTCCTCCGACTCAACTCAGTGGAGATGGGACTCTGCGCTCCAGAACCTCATCAAAAACGCCGTCAAAAGCCTGGATTCTTGCGTCAATTTTAGACCACAACCAGACGCCCAATCCGCATCGTTTCAGACCGACGACCCTGATTGGGACTGGGATCGCTGGCGCCGCCATTTCTTAGAGGTCGAACAACAAGAGCGCCTTGTCTCCCTTCTCAAGGTCTCTACTTTTACCACAATTCCTTCTCTCTCTCTCTCTCTCTCTCTATATATATATATATGTATATGTGTATTTATATATCTTGAAGCGATGATGATTTTGCTTATTTATGTGAATTTTGTGTTTGAAACTTGAACAGTTGCAGTTGGGTCGGGCTGTATATGCAGAGGACTTTGAGGATGCTGCGAGGCTCAAAGTTGCAATTGCCGCTGCAGCTGCAAACGACGTCGTTGGAAGAGTCATTTCTCATCTCAATGTATGTGCTTTTACCTCCCTTCACTTACTTTCTTTGTTTGCACTCTAATTTTGGTTTTCATTCTCTGAAAAGAGATTTTGTTCGTTTTCAAATTTCAGAGAGCTATACAGGAAGAACGATACCAGGACGCCGCATTTTTCCGAGATACTGCTGGTGCCGGATTGGTTAGTCAATTCAACAAGGAAATGAGTTTCTGATTACTAATATGAAAATGTACCTGTGTTTCAGTTTGATGCATTTGGATTAAGTGTGTTTGGGTTGTCGAATTTCAATTGGGCATTGATAAAACTGCGCTTGGTTTAATTATATGTGTACTTCCAATTTTGGGTTCTAGGTGGGTTGGTGGGCTGGTCTTTCTGAAGATAAGAAGGATCCCCATGGCATAATTATTCGAGTAACTGCGGAGCATGGAAGATATGTCGCAAGGAGTTACAGTCCCTGGTAAGTTGTTTGCTTTGTTTGTTTAATTTAGGGTGTACCTTTTGTTTTTTGTTGTAACCAAGACCAGCAGAGAATTGGTTATTTGGTAACACTAGCTTCTCAACCAATAAAAAGTAAGAGAAAGTTCAAAATTAATAGTTTATAGTTTCTTTATTTTGAATTGTAAGACCTAAAGGTTTAATATGAAGCAGTGGGGAGAAGTATGGGGGTTGAGAAGCCAAAGAGTCGACGCATGTTAGCATAGGGGAATCCAAACTGACGAAGACTAATGAAATTGATTTTCAGCATCTTATTCGTTTATTGTTCGTGAAGATTTATGAGGGCCTGGGATAACCCCTTTTTCCTTTTCTTAAGCGGACTTTTATCTATACCCATTTTAGATGCTAGTTTGTCCGAGTGGCTTTGCATATGTTCTCGCCAAAAAAGAACAGGAGTCTAAAAACAAGGGATGCTACTGAATTGGATCTGATTATACTAGGAGCAAGATACTGTTTTAAAAATTCCCCGTGCATGTCCCTACTTATCACCAGTAATCTAAAAAGTGGTTTAGGCGGTGCTCTGCCGCGATTAACCCGAAATCATCATTACATCAGCAAGGCTATTAGGCGGTTCTCCACCACGATTAACCCGAAATACTGTATAAGATATATTTATGGAATACTTCTCATGTCTCATTTTTTGTTATACTTCTGGTTTTGTTAAGACTTATATATTATTATGTAGTTTCCATTTAAAATTTTACTTTGGGTTTCAAGTAATTTATGCAGAACGGATTTTTCCATTCTGCACGCTACTGGTGCTTCCTGCAATATGTATTTTTTTTTATTAACTTTCATCTTCTTCAGGGAGCTTGCTACTGCTGCAGCTGGTGTCCCACTCTTTGAGATTTATTTAACAACAAATAAGAATGGTGAATACAGACAGCAGGTAATCTTGTCATGTAGAATTTTTTAGTTTAATCTAATGCATAAATTACAACTTTCTAGTGGTTGAAATTTAAAATGGGCAATAATAGGCTTGCATTTTCCAGTAAATGCTTGGGACTGTTTTGACTTAATTACGTTGCATGCCTTTGAAAAATGTCAAGAACCATAGGAAAATAGAAGAGAACTCTCTTTTTCAATATTGCTTCTCAAAACCTGCCCCTTCAAAATCTTACATAAAAAAAATTTCATTTAGGCAGCAAACCCTAAGAGAAACCTTTAATCTTCGATAATAACAAGCAGTGAAACATAATGGATGAAATATAAAAGAGTAAGTAATGTTCCACAACGAAAAAGGGTAGGATTTTTAAACATATAAAAATCACACAAGATCCCAAAACAAATAATGGTAAGATGCCTTTGAGTGTTCTTCATCAAATAGACAGATTCGGGTATTTTATTTATATAAAGAATCTGTTATCACATGCATCTGAAATCCATGGTCGATGAAATCTTGAATTATGAAATTTATCTTGCCGGATAGTCTGGCACCATAAGATGGTTATTTTGACAAACTGAGTTTGGACCGTTGACTAATTTGAATGTGCTGTCTAGATTCATAGGATGATATCGTTATGTTGCCGAACTATATTATCTTCAAAACAGAAGTGGGATGGGCAAGCGTAGAGGTTTGACAGGGCCAGTTTGGAGGTTCAATTAGAATGACATAATATACGCACATCAGTATTTTAATTGTAGTGTTGAATATTCAACTACAAAAATTTAGATTGTTGAATACTTTTAAAATTTTGTCAAATGAAAATTTTGAAAAATAAAATTCTGACTTTTGTGACAATTAACATTTGTTTTCCCAAAAAAATATGTGTAAGGAGAAGCGAGAAAGTGCTGATGATTTACTTGTGCACTGTCCACTAGCTGTAGGTTATGGTCAAAATTATTCGGTGAGGCAGGGTGAGCTGTGTGGTTCCAGCAGGATGTTGCGCATTATTGACTGAAAACAAAAGACATTTTCCTTTTGGTGGTGGAATGAAGGGTAAAATCCTGTGAGGATGCAGCTCTTAGTGGTAATTGGATCATTTGTCTGGAAAGGAATAGGACATTAGAGTATTATAAAGGTGTAGTGTGGAAGAACTATGGGTACAGTTTGTGCTTCAAGTTGCCTATCAGTCTCTAGATATGAAAGAGGTTACTTTTCTTAATAACAATTTTGTTTAATGTTGGTTGAACTGACCAAACCCGTTTTGGGGGTTAGTTAATGAAGTGGCCAGTTGTTCTAGTTCCTGGTCAATCCTATATTTGTGTCGATCCAGTCTGGTTTTAATATATAAGCAATGGCATTTGGTGTAAGTTAGTGAAGACTTAAATTATTCTTTGGTGTGAAATAGGATTGGAATAACAAATGATAATTTTGAAGTGGTATTTCATTAATTACTTATTGCTTGTCTAATGCACAAGTATGATTTATCAATTTGTATGCTTAGAAATTTGCAGCTAATGTACTTAATATTTCTATGCCATAAATTTCAGGCTGTGTATTTAAAGCAGGGAGGGGTGTTTCAGGATTCTTCACAAGTTAGCTCCAAATCATTGGATGCCAGTGGCAGCTTGAATCCCTTTGATTCAACTGAAGAAAGAGGTGATCTATTTGTTGCAGATAGTGAAGATGCTGAAGATTGTGATGATTCAGATGATGGCTCTGATCTTTCTGAGGACATCTCTGGTTTTCAAAGTTTCTTGAGAGATATGATTCCTAATGTGAAGGTCAAGGTTTTGAAAGTGACCTCACTAGGGAAGGTAGACAGGGATCTAATATCGAAAGTGATTGAACAGATTATTGAGGAAGATGATGAAGATAAGGATAGTGAAATAGTGAGTTTAGATGCTGAAGATGAAGAACAGGTTGAAGGTGACGAAGAGACAGATGTCATTGAACTGGATGCTGATCCTGGAATTATTCAAAATGCAGAACGACGTGAAATTGCTGTCAAAGTTGTTGTTGGTGGTCTTGGGCAGAAACTATCAAGCAGACCGCCTACTAAAAATTTGCTCCGAGTACCTGCTAAAATAGAGAAGAAGGGACGTTTATCATTTTCCTTTACTGTTGAGAAAGATATTAACCAACAGGATTCCCGTGGAAGGGAACAGTCTTCTGTGGATAAAAAAGCTAAACTTGGAGGTCAACAAGGCATTGATAATGTTATGTTTGATCTCTCTAAGTTCATGGGTAAAGAGAAGATACCACAGAAGGTGGGCTGAATTTTCACTGTACAATTTGAACAACATCCACCACTGTTTATACACTAAAAGTTCTTGCTATTCTATTTTATGTTTTGACTATCAGGTACTCAAAGATGTTGGCGAGTTAATAAATCTTGCTCTCAGCCAGTTTAACGACCATCAACCACTGTCAGGAACAACCACTTTCAATCGCATTGAAATGCCGGCTTCTCCAGATCCTTTAAATGGTGATTTTCTTCAAAATTATGTTTCATCTTTTCCACTTTTTGATGCTATAACGAGGAGGAAAGTGAGAGCACAAATCTGTTTCCCCAACCCAACATCCATCCCAAAATTTTACTGTTTCTCCTTGTCCCACCATAAAGTGACAAGAAGAAGAAAAAGAAGTTGATCCCTTGAGAATTTTGTATCCATAGACAGAGACATCATCCCTTGATCACTATCTTGGAATCCCAGCTATATTCATGCGACTCATATGTGCCTGTTTAATGCAAATCTCCACACCCATCTCCCAAGTAACACTTAATTTCCTTTCATCTAATGTCCCACCCTAATCTCTTTTTCCATCACTCTAGGTATATCCCAAATAAGCATATTGTCCTTTCCCCTCTTTATAATTTTGGGAAGTTTTTTGTACACAACTTTTTATTACCGGAGGGTTGCTATTCTTTAAAAGGATTTATTGCCAAACTTGCTTGTATTATACTTTTATTAGTAGGAGCTTGTTAGTTTGTAGACTCTGAATTCAGTGGATTTATTTTCTTTTCCACCTTTTGATTACCGAAATCCGGTTTCTGATCTCTCCCTCCTCCGAAAAGAGGGAGAGAAAAAAGTAATGTTTGATGCTGTGCAGAAGTTCTTATGGTTGATTACCCTGTTTTGTTTCTAGAATCCTTGATAAACTCTTCAGCTCACATAGGTTCATTTTATCAGGGATTTACATTGGTGCTCATGGGCTCCACACCTCAGAAGTTATTCACCTGAGACGTAAATTTGGTCAATGGAAAGAGGATGGAGGGACTGAAGAGCCTCTAAACCTTGAGTTTTATGAATATGTAGAGGCCTTAAAACTTACTGGGGATCCTTATGTACCTGCTGGCCAGGTAATTTAATTTTTTTATTATTTCTAGCTTCATAACATTATATTGAAATAAAACCTCATAGGGTATTTTGTATTGAAACAAAACTTCGTAGGCTATTTTTCTTGCTGATACAAGTTGTTAAGACTTGGTTGACTGGAAACAACCTTAGCTATTCCAAAGCGCTGGTCTCAACTTTGGAATGAGCATTTGGGCTTAAGTTTTGTTTTTCATTGACTAGTTACCTAGTTTTTCTGAAACTTGGTCCTTGTACCTTATCAATTGGTTTCTGCAGGTGGCATTTCGTGCAAAGATTGGGAAAGGATATCAGCTTCCTCATAAAGGGATTATACCAGAAGAATTTGGAGTGGTATGGTCTTAGCTTGTTAGATAGAATTTTTTCTGATCACTAATTATTTTTCTTTATCTTTTGTCCACTTGGCATGCGTGTGTTTCCTTTCTTCAGAAGAGTATCTTTTCTTGATTTTTATTTGTTTTGGAAACTCAGGTTGCTCGATATAAAGGACAGGGGAGGCTTGCTGAGCCAGGGTTTCGCAATCCCCGATGGGTCGATGGTGAACTTGTTATTCTTGACGGGAAGGTTTTATACTTCTCTGCTTTTTATATTTTCCTGTGTTTTTATTTCAAAAAGTACTCATTCAGTATCTCTAGAATGCATAGTGACTATATGATATACCTTTATGAAACTGTTGCAGTACATTAAGGGTGGACCTGTTGTTGGATTTGTTTACTGGGCTCCCGAGGATCATTTCTTGGCGTTCTTCAATCGGTTGAGGCTTCAAGAGTAGCTTTCCATTGTACATAACATTGCAGTTGATAGATATTTTTGCGAAATTTTGTAGGGTAAGTTCTTTCTCATTAAAATTATTCATTCAAACTATTGATGTTTTAGAGTAATACCACAAATGTTGCTGTGTTTTCTGCTAATCAACTCTGCAATTCGTCATAAACTCATATCTTGTCTAGGGAGGTAGTTCAATCCCTGTTCTCCTGAACGTTGCTCGCATACATTGGAGTTCTCTAAATTCCAGTGACAATTTTTTGCTACACTACACATCATCATTTGAATTTGAGTTGGTAATTAACTTTTGATACATAATGTAACAAACCATAAGGTGGGGTGTTCGATATGATTATAGTGTACTTATCTGAAATTTTTATTAATCATCTCAAAAGAGGGACGATCAAACTTAAAAGGGGATATCAAGGCACCAGGCCTATATGTTTCATTACTAGAATTAACGTTTTTTTTTTCATAGGGTTTCCAAGTAAACAATGGGTATTCTGAATTCGGGGTGGTGTAATGAGTAGATGAGTTGGTGCAATAGATTATACTGGGAAAGGCTTAGACTATATATACAGTTAGTTGTGAGCATGGTATAATATTATGTAGGATTTCTTTCTAAAGAGCTGATAAGAGGTGATGTGCGGATGCAACAGTGGCCTTATTATAACCCATCAACTATAACCAGCCATGCTCTTTGAAAGGAGGGACGTTTTGGTGGTTTTCTTGTATGGACACCCGTCGTGAATTTGCTAATCATCGTTAGCAGGCTTTCCTTTGTGATTGTATTCCTACGTAATATGTGAATAGCAAGTTATTTGAATACAACACCAGTATGATAGTTGATGCATTCCCCTCTGATGAAGGTTTCCTTTGCTGTCTCTTGTGTTATGCAGTTTAGAAGATATTTACTATATGTCTACTGGTGCATTTGCAAGCATGTTAACTCAAAGCAACTGCGCTGAAGCTTTGGAATGCAATAGAATAGATAGCTCAAAAGCATTGTCGCAACGTTTTGGAGCTCTGCGCGATTGCACCTTTCGCTCCTCCGAAGCAGCCTCTGAACAACGTATACCAAGTACATTCTGCGTACTTCTCTAACTTATTCGGATGAGCACAAGTGCGTGCATAAAAACACACACACACATGTATATATTCCATTTAGCTCAAGTAATACTCCTCCATTTAGAGACCCATGGGTTTTTTAGCTGCAGCCAAACACAATTGGCTCGCTGTTTTGGCTCCTCTTTCTTTTTACCACTGACCAGCACAGAAGCATTGTGTTACTGTGTAGAGACATGTTCTGTCTGATTTACCTGTGGCATAGGCGCGCGAATAAACGACTGCATTCTTCGAAGGAGTAAGAAACGGCGGTTTCATGCTAATAAAATCAGAGGTTGGGGTAGGCAACTCGTGTCTGGGTCCGTAAGGATGAACCCATGCCAAATAAAGAAGCATTACAAAAGGGGGTGTGTGGGTCACGTGCAGAAGTGCACAAGCCCAAACACAGCAGTCTTGGGTCTGTGAATAACATGATGATGACTAGAAGATGATGAAATGCCTCTATAATTTTTTTGGGTTTTTGAAAAAATAAACTACTGTAACGAAATCATCATTTGATCACATTTTACGAAAAAGAGAAGATTTTTAACCCTTAAAAATACACAAATATCAGTTTTTAAAGAAAATTCAAACATAGTTAAAAACTCATGCCAGTTGGCCAAAGTACCCACAAAATTGAAAACCAAACACCAAAAGGGAAAGAGCTTTTTCTTTTTGGGTAAGCTGTGGTATAACTTCTTGAACTATTTTTATTTAGTAAATTAACTCTTTGAATTACTAAAAATCAGTTAATTAATCTCTTGCAGTTAGATTGTGAAATCAATTCTATCAAATTTAAGGGAAAATTAGTCGTTTCATTATTAATTGTTATTTATCAGCTATAACTAATTAACTATCAATAAAACTTTGACACATGAACACAAAATAATTAAAAAATAAGAGAAATTTTTTCAGGTGACAGTTGCTGAGCTGGAATACCACCTTTTAACATCTGACACCTAAGATGAGTTATGACACTTATTATTTACTTTTAGAATATAATTCAAATTAATTAAATAAGGAACCCAGATTCATCTTTTTCTTGATAAAGAAAAAAAGAACCCAGATTCCTCCCATCATCTTCTGTTACACCCCACCCCATCTCTTCATGTTTTGTTTTTCTTTCTGAGATAAAACTTATGATTTTGTGGGTTGTAGAAAATGCAGCGGGTGGTGAAGCCCAGGACTCTGCACATGCAGCGGATCGTGAAGCCCGGGACTCTGTGGCTGCTGAAAATTGCAGCTTTCATGGGTTGGAGTTTGTGGGTTGTAGAAGCTGTGGGTGAATGTTCAGAGCCTCCAACATCGCCATCTTCAGAGCCTCCATCGCCTAATCAACCACAAGATCTTGTCGTCCATCAACTTCCCCACTCTCCTCACCAGCCTAAAATCGACAGCACCGGATCGCCCCGCCCTTCACAGCCTTCATCTTGCTCGCCTGCTCTCTGTCACGTCCTCGGTCGCGTTGTCCACCATGCGCAACACCAACAAGGGCTTGAACCCGGCAAAGAAAAAGGATTTTGTATGTTTAGGAGTTGGGCGAATCTGCAATCTACCAAGAAAGAAGATGAACAGATTGAAAAATTTATGGAGTTTTAACCTTTTTTTTTTTTTTCTTTTTCTCACATATGAAATACTTTATGAATAGACTTATCTCGAACAAAACAAAAACACAGGCATGAAATTTAATAGAAAATAAACTTGCCACCTGTCAGACATTTATTGGATCGGTACTCCAGCTGTCTGCTATATAAAAAACCAAACGTTTACATAACAAACATTCTCATTATTACACATTATTTTATTTTTACATGTCATAATTATATTATTCATTATAATTAAATAAAAATTGATGAAAGAATGACTAATTTTCTTTTAAATTTGACAAAAAAGTAAATAGAATCAACAGATAAAGTAATTTAGGAATAAACTTTAATTAAAGTATTCAAGAAGTCAAACGATAATTTTTCTTTTTTTAGGGTTTGAATTTTGAGAATTTTAACAAAAAAATTTTAGTACTGTTTAAAAAAATCATATTTTTACATTAAAAAATTAATTCTAATACTATTTATTTTATTATTTTCGATAAAATTTAAATTTTCAAACATTTTTCATTAGTTTTGTTTGGTTTTTTCCATACGGAAAAAGTAAAAAGAGAGCATGATGATTGAGAGGGATTCGTTTTAATTGAAATTGAGCCAATTAAATTGTCAGAATTAAAAAACCTACAACCAAGACGATGATGAAAATTTCACAAAACTATAAAATCTGTAAATTAATTAATGGTTTCCTGAAAATTCGTAAAAAACGTTTCTAACAGTGTTCTTCAAATATTCGTTCTGATGGGAATTGGCCCCAGTTTCTGCAACCCAACACCAAAGACTCCGGCCTCTTGGGGGAGACGAGAGTAAGTGAGAGAAAGAGAGAGAAGCTAGAGAGACAGAGAAGCTACTTGTGATCCTAGAGAGAGAAAAACCGCAGCGGCAGCAGGTATGTATATTTAGAGAGAGAAAGAGAAAGATAGAGAGAGAGAGGGTGTGTAAGCGAAACCGAAACTTTTTGTAGTGGGAGAGAGAGTATTATGGGAAGCACCTTTCTCTCTCTACCAGCGAAGCGTTCCCTATCGACGACAATGTCTTCTGACTTCAACCCCAACTTCGAAAACGGACCCTCCAAGCGCTCCAGGCCCCCTCCTCCTCCCATCAGCGTCCCTCCCGCCCACGTCGCCTTCCGCATGCTCTGCCACGCTTCGCGCATCGGCGGCGTCATCGGAAAGTCCGGTAGTGTGATCAAGCAGCTCCAGCAAGCCACCGGAGCCAAGATCCGAATCGAAGAACCCCATGTCGAATCCCCTGACCGGGTCGTCGTGGTCATCGCTCCGAGCACAATCGGCTCCAAGGTATGGCTGAGAGCTCCAGTTCTAAACAATGTCTACAATGGTGGCGGCGGTGGTTTTGAAGAGGAGATTGAGGTTTCCAAGGCGCAGGAGGCGCTTCTGAGAGTGTTCGAGAGGATTCTGGAAGTTGCAGCGGAGACGGGGGCGATTGCGGCGGGGTTTGGGGTGGTTTCGTGCCGGGTTTTGGCGGAGACGGCGCAGGTTGGGTTAGTGATAGGGAAGGGGGGGAAGGTGGTAGAGAAGATTAGGAAAGAAACTGGGTGTAAAATTAGGGTTTTGAAGGAGAAGCTACCTGCTTGTGCTGCTGCCACAGACGAGATGATCGAGGTAAAGGTTGTGTCTTTGCTTTTCTGAAATGGGAATTGAGTTTTATGTTTTAGTTAGTCGGATTGTTTGTGATTGAGTGACTCCTGCATTGTTTTGGTATTGATATTTGTGTATGATGTGGTGAATTAGTCCCATTTAGTATGGACTCTCGAACTTGATTTGTAAGTTCTGTTTAGGGTTATGTGGAAATCGAAACTTGTTGGTGCACTCGGTGTATGTATATGCGACTGAACTAGTAGGTTGGGAAAGGTGTAGTTTAGTTTTGCTCGACTTTGTTGCCAATAGGACCAAAACATTGAGTAAGATAGTATGGCAGTCTGTAGCTATGCTGAATTTCAAAAGTTGTTTGTGGTTTCGGGTTTTTTCGCATGTTTTCAGTTACATATACAAATAGAAATGGACTGTATCTGGGCTAATTGTTTTGAAGTAGGACTTGATACCAAGAAGACAGCAATAGAATACTAACTGAGCTGAAGGTTTACATACCAAGAAGATAGCAAGTAGAATACTGACGAAACATTGTTAGAGACAAGGGAAAAACTAGAATATCTGTTTTGTCATCCAAAGTGGTACGAAGAGCTTGATTTAGGTAATGTAATTTCTGGACATAAAAGTTTTCAATTGGATATTGACAATTATGATGCTAATTTGGAACCAATGTGATAGGATGTGATAACACAAGCGGTTTCTACAGATATCAGTGATGAGGGAGGTGGATACATATGTACGATTACTTTTAGAATGTTCCAAGGTTATCATGTCTGCTCTGCTATAATTAGGATTTTAATGACTGTTTATCAAAATGAATGAAATCTTTAGGGGGTTATAAATGGTAACAATATCTGTCAGTTACTGATACAAAGGCTGGCAGTTGTAGATCTGCTAAGTTGGGTTAGTTGGGCATGTGCCATTTGCATACTTAATTTTGATCTCAACCATAGCCGTTGACTGGATTGAATTAGGTACCAAATAGGCGGAATGAACTTAGTAGTTGTTAAAGGCCATCATTTTTTTTCAGGATCTTCTTATGTATGTACAATTTATGTAGCTTAACTTCTGACTTCACTTGCCTGAGAACTAGTCCAGTTCTAAACAATGTCTATAATGGTGGCGGCAGTGGTTTTGAAGAGGAGATTGAGGTTTCCAAGGCGCAGGAGGCACTTCTGAGAGTGTTCGAGAGGATTCTAAAAGTTGCAGCGGAGACGGGGGCGATTGGGGTTGGGTGGTGTCTTGGCGGTTTTTGGCGGAGGCAGCGCAGGTCGGGTCAGTGATGGGAGGGGGGGGGGGGAAGGTCGTAGAGAAGATTAGGAAAGAAACTGGGTGTAAAATTAGGGTTTTGAATGAGAAGTTACCTGCTTGTGCTGCTGCCACAGACGAGATGATCGAGGTAAAGGTTGTGTCTTTGCTTTTCTGAAATGGGAATTGAGTTTTAGGTTTTAGTTAGTCAGATTGTTTGTGATTGAGTGACTCCTGCATTGTTTTGGTATTGATATTTGTGTATGATGTGGTGAATTAGTCCCATTTAGTATGGACTCTCGAACTTGATTTGTAAATTCTGTTTAGGGTTATGTGGAGATCTAAACTTGTTGGTGCACTCAGTGTAAGTATATGCGACTGAACTAGTAGGTTAGGAAAGGTGTAGTTTAGTTTTGCTTGACTTTGTTGCCAATAGGACCAAAACATTGATTAAGATAGTATGGCAGTCTGTAGCTATGCTGAATTTCAAAAGCTGTTTGTGGTTTCAGGTTTTTTTTCCGCATGTTTTCAGTGACATATACAAATAGAAATGAACTGTATCTGGGCTAATTGTTTTGAAGTAGGACTTGATACCAAGGAGACAGCAATAGAATACTAACTGAGCTGAAGGTTTACATACCAAGAAGATAGCAAGTAGAATACTGACGAAACATTGTTAGAGACAAGGGAAAAACTAGAATATCTGTTTTGTCATCCAAAGTGGTACAAAGAGCTTGATTTAGGTAATGTAATTTCTGGAAATAGAAGTTTTCAGTTGGATATTGACAATTATGATGCTAATTTGGAACCAATGTGATAGAATGTGATAACATAAGCGGAGTCTACATATATCAGTGATGAGGAAGGTGGATACATATGTACAATTATTTTTAGAATGTTCCAAGGTTTATCATGTCTGCTATGCTTATAATTAGGCTTTTAATGACTGTTTATCAAAATGAATGAAATCTATAGGGGGTTATAAATGGTAACAATATCTGTCAGTTACTGATACAAAGGCTGGCAGTTGTAGATCTGCGAAGTTGGGTTAGTTGGGCGTGTCCCATGCATACTTAATTTTGACCTCAACCATAGCCCGTTTACTGGATTGAATTAGGTACCAAATAGGCGGAATGAACTTGATAGTTGTTAAAGGCCATCATTTTTTTTCAGGATCTTTTTACGTATGTACAATTTATGTAGCTTAACTTCTGACTTCACTTGCCTTTAAGGTCTGTTTTAACAGAAAATAGAAACAAAATATTCCTTTCCCTTATGTTATACTAATGCTTCTGGTTCTTGATTGTCTGTTTGCCTCCACCTTAGCGTACTTTACTAATTAAAAAGAACATCTTAATTTTTTTTCTTCCCCGGAAATTGATTCATTGGTGTGGCAGATAGAAGGGGATATTTTGGCTGTAAAGAAAGCACTTATTGCTGTTTCTGGCTGTCTTCAACAATATCCACCAGTTGACAAGACAAGGATGAGTGCAAGCAGGCCTGAGGCAGTTCCTCGTGAGACTCTACCTGATCTGCGTTTAGATCATCTTTCGCAGAGGAACTCAATGCTTAATTTGCCAAGCAGCTCCATGAGTTATGTTTCAGGAGTTCGTCCATCATCAAGAGAGGCTGAAAGGATCCCCACACTTGAGACAAAACAACAGGAAGTTTCTTTCAGGATTCTTTGTGCCAATGATAGGATTGGGGGTGTAATTGGAAGGGGGGGTTCCATTGTTAGGGCTCTTCAAAATGAGACAGGTGCTGCAATAAGTGTTGCTGCCTCTGTGGCTGAGTGTGATGAACGATTAATTACTGTTTCTGCATTGGAGGTTTGTCATTCTGTCTTTTTTCTTTTCTTTTTCCTATTTTTAATATCTATATTTTTCTTATATCTGCTTCATATTCTATAGAATCCTGAATCAAGGTACTCGCCAGCACAAAAGGCTGCTGTTCTTGTCTTCTCAAGGTCCGTAGAGGCAGGCATTGAAAAGGGGCGAGACTCAAGCTCAAATAAAGGGTCACCCCTTACTGCACGGCTTTTAGTTCCATCAAACCAAGTTGGTTGTTTGCTGGGAAAAGGGGGTGTAATAGTTTCAGAGATCCGGAAGGCAACTGGCACTGGTATACGAATAGTAGGGGGTGACCAGGTCCCGAAGTGTGCCTTAGAGAATGTTGAAGTTGTACAGGTGTGGTGCTATCACATTCTTTAAGGAAGGGATAATAATTGGTTTTCGATTTGGTCCTATTGGTGAAATTCGTTATATTTAGGGATCTGAAGTTGATGATATGAACTTGCAAGTTTCTCATATATTTATCATTTGTTTCCCAGATTTCAGGGGATTTTTCAAATGTGCAAGATGCTTTGTACAATATTACTGGTAGGTTACGAGATAACCTTTTCTCCAGCACAGTAAGTAATTCTGGAAGAAGGAGCAGTTCATCCATGCTAACCGATATAAGTCCTTATGGAAGACCCAGGGATCTGAATCCTATTGGATATCAGCCATCATCATCGGTTGGTGTTACTCGTGATCTGAGCCGTCATTCAACACTAATTCAAAATATGGATCATCTTGGTCTTTCCCATAGTTTAGATCCTTCCCCACCAAGACCATGGGCATCACAGGTAAGTCTCTCACATGGTCTCGACTGTATTTTTTTGTATTTTGTTTTTTTTTATATTTTAGTTGATTTACGGATTGTATTGCAGATGTCATCTTTCACAGATGTTGGAAGGGGTGTGACTTCTTTAAAAAGTGGCACAGATATTGGCAGGTTAGAAAATTATGAGATTGGGCTAAGCTGCTAAGCTATAAATGGGTCTGAAAATGAAATGGATGTTGTTTTGAAGCATGAGTAAATAGCTTCAGATCGTGAGAACTGAGATGCTTGGTGTGAATAAAGTTGTTAGATAGGAGGTCATTCCGTTATGATTTTCCTGGCTTGAGTTACCATTTAGTGGGCTGTATCTGAATTTATGGATGTGAAGTGAAACTGAAATTTGTATAATATATTGGGATTAAAGTCGGCTAGTAGTTAAATTAGACATTGTTAGTAATTTCCTTACGGACTGCACTCTTTGCTCTTGCAGTTAACATCAACTAATGATATTAGGCGTTAAAAACATTTATATCTAGATTCACATTTCTCCACTTTCTAGGAACTTGACCGCTCAGGCTAGTCAATTGTCATGCACAGCCTTATTTCATAAATAATTGAAATACCCTGGACTGTCACCTAAAAGTAATCATAGACTAGTTACCTCTCTATTATTCCATATCACACCTCAATCTGTCACTTAATTGAAACACCCACCTCATTCGGTTTCAAATGGATACTGAAAATTCGTGCAATTATGTACTTAAAGTTTCTAATGGGATGCGCTTTCCATTTTTTATTTGTTTTTTATTTTTGTTTCTTGAACTCTGTCCTTTTGTAATAGCAGTGGGAGCAAATCTGCTGTTGTGACAAATACAACTGTAGAGATCATAGTTCCTGAAAATGTTATTGGCTCTGTGTATGGGGAGAATGGTGCCAATTTGGCTCGTCTGAGACAGGTATATATCATGATTTTATATTGCTTCTTTGATTTTGTTTTAAGGAAACTGTGCTCTTTGTGTGTACCTAGCAAGCACGCCCTTCTTTATAAGGTTTTTGCTTGCTGGATTTCAAACCTCAACATAACCAGTTTGGCTCTATTATATTTTGAGGGCTTCCCATGTCTACTATATTTCTATTTAGTATTTTATTCCTGATAAGGAATTGTGCAAAATTTAAGAGCACATTGAAGTGGCTGGGAAGAACACAGTTATGTTGCCATAGAATAGTTGTTTTTGCTTGGGCGAAGGGGCCTTGTGTTGTTATAAGATGCTTGGGACCGTGAATTGGGGTGGGTTGCAGTGTGGCTTTGACCCGAGCATCTTTGTAGTGAACGCCATCATGAACTTCAAGGATATCACAGTTGCATACTGTTTCAAACTTCACACATATCTGTTTCTACATCAACTTAAACTTATCTTTTGTATTTTTCCTTCTTTTTTTCCCTTTTGAATCAGATTTCTAGTGCCAAGGTCTTTGTGCATGAGCCCCGTCCTGGAACAACTGACAGGATTATTGTCATATCTGGGACACCTGATGAAACCCAGGCAGCACAGAGCCTTCTACATGCATTCATTCTTACTGGACCATCATGACAAATAGTTTGTCTGTGAGACATGTTTGCAGGAGGAGATTCCACCAGGTTGCTTGGTAACCAATTGGGTTTTGATTTTGTCAAATACTGTACGCTAGGTAGGAAGATTCATCCTTCAGGGTTCCTTTTTAATGCCGATCTGGAACTAAGCGACGTAAATTTTGCTCTATCGGCTTTGTCATTTTGTTGCATAGAGAAGTCATTCTGCCATGATTTACTATGTATTCTTCAGAAACAATGTGGAAAGTGTTTGACAAGAGAGCCTTTGCCTAGTTACCTCCGTCTTTTAATGAATTAATCTTTTTTGCTCCATGTAAATTTTATTGTAATGTGACACTTGTGAAAGAGAAAAAATGTGTTTCAATTATTCTGTGAAGGTTAACAAGGTGATGTGTTGATGTGTATAATTCCTCTCCTTAATTTAGATGACAGTAGAATTAAGCGTTAATGAGTAGGGTTTTGTTTGGGTAAGGAGCGGAATAAGACAAGGAAACGAGCGCGGGAAATTCTCAAAGCATGTGAATGTGAGTTAGGTCAGTTATTTAGGGCAGTGCTCATACGCTCATACTCAGGCACATGAGTGCGAGTTCTCTTTCTCGTAAACTAGTGTAGATTACAATATTGCTTTGCCAGTGCCCATACTTTTTTCATTTTTCTTCTTGGGGAGAGGTAAGACGGGTTCGAAAGCACAACAAATAAAACAAACTACAATAGAGGATCAAGAGAGGTTTATGTTGTCTAAGGCCTTTCACAGTAGGCCGGAAAAAGTGAGAATGATGCCAATATATTGAACTCATACTAATGTAATAGTAGTGTTAAAGAAATTAAACTCAAGATGCCTGATTCCTATCTATAGTTATCACATTCACCTGAATCATCGTGAAAGGCCTAAAATATGATCCATATGGTTTTAGGATCAAGAGAGGATGACCTTGGAGTCTTAGACGTCTTAGACCCTTCGACTCTTTGTTTCTGTTAGCTCAACTCATTGAAATGAACACTGTCACATTAAATTACTGGAAGCATACAAGTAGATGGAGGCAACTCAACTGGCAAGTATGGGTCTCTCAAAAGTATTTTACAGTCTCTTTCACACAGACAATACATGAAATTGAAACAGGTGCATGATACTTCTAACTTGTCCCGACTGGCACTGCAGTAGTTGCCTCTGCCGCTGCTGCCGGTTTTGGTTTGAGTATGATCTCCACATTGTCATGGACACCCTGCAGCAGTAGCTCACCGTCGTATGTGAGAAATTTTCGCCTCTTTGCTGCTCTTAGCGTCCCAACCAACGCTTCGAATATGTTTGCACATCTATCATCATTAAATAGCACCCCAAATGTGACCTACAGAAATAGCACCCCAAATGTTCATACATTGTAGGAAACAGAAGTATGATTTACACAAACATTGAAGCTTAAGGTACACGAGTAAAAGGTCGTTAAAAAATAGTTATAAATCTTGTTGGTGAGTGTATGTGTGTGTCAAAGTTTTGTACTCTTTAAGGCCATTGAACTGACATAGCCCAAACAGCAGAGTAGATAACAGAAACCTGAAGAAATCTGACAATCAAAATGAGCCGAATTGACAGACGATGATTTTGCAACATATCAAACACCAAATAATTTAATTATCCTGAAAATGCATCAGCTATAATTGCTTCCTTCAATCCAGACAAGATCAGTTCTTTCTCCGTCCCTCTCAAGTGATAAATGGGAAGAAAATTGCAGTTTTACGACACGAGGGATGCAGAATGAAGATAAAATTCTAATACAGTCCGTTTTAAAATTAAAAGTCTGCCAATCACAAAATTTATAAGCTAATATATGCTCATTTGTCACAGTTTTTCTACTTAAAATTGAATTATCATCCTGTGAACGCTTTGTATTTACCCATTTTTCACATACCAATTGAAAAGATGAAATACATTTACAAAGTTGAATCAAAAGAAGCAAAGATCTTGATACGAATCACGAAGAAATGCGTAAAAATACAAGGAAATCATATCATCTTGAGTACCAATCGATTCGAGTCTTTTTTTTGAAATTATATGTTTTGATGAATGATCAATTACTCAGCCAAGATCAATGATACCATCAGAAACTTGTAAACAAGTAGAATATTACAGATCCAGCATTGACATGGCCCAACAATTTCTAGATCCAAACAGTGAAATCAATACTTGTAATTCGAATTCTAGAGCAGCATTACAATTGCAATTACATATGAACAGTAAGAAAAAGGAAGAGGAGAGGTGGAAAGAGTGGGATTGGATTGCATGATGGTGTTTGTGTGTGAGCGTTGTTACCTTGTAAGAACCATCGTCTTGGAGCTTGCCGAGCCTCTGGATTTCTTCTCTGAGACGCTCGACCTCTTCTTCTACATTCATGGCTGATGATTTGATGGCTTCACTTCTGCAATCCTCCTTGTCTGTTTTCTGCGTTGGGTGTGGAAAAAGACTCAAGGCCGGATCACAACCCACCAGTTGCTTAATCTCTAGCCTTCGGATAACGTAAAAAAAATAAAAAAAAAAGTTGCTATCCATGTACTTTTATCAAGTTTCAGCTGTCGGATCAAATGTGTGCGGTAAAAAAAAGGTGTGAAAATCACCGCCTAAAAGAAATTTAGAATAATAACAAAAACACATCATTATTTAGTTTCTCATATCTTTGTTTAATATTTTTTGGTCGAAAAACTAGGTTGATGACCCAAACAAAGTTATTCAATAATAAATCTAAACCGGTACATTCCAAATTGATCATCATGAACAAAACTAAATTAACGAGAATGAGAATTATCGAAGTAAAAATTGTCTAGATCTATACTCTTGTTTAACATTATTTGATATTTTTGTGTGATTTATTCAAGAAAAAATTTGCCTAGATGAGCAAATTTTGGGCTACATTTCATGATGGGACAACACTTTTTTTCTAAATAGCAAAACTAGGCATGAGAAAGACCACAAGAGCTTCTACATAAAGGTTCGAATGTTCCAACAATATCACAATAATCCAAGAATATGTTCCAACTCATTAGCAAAAGGAAGAGCAGATTTCGTAGCAACAATTTCTTTTCTCCAGAAACAATACCAAACTACCAAGGCACTTAGTTGTATACAAAGAATGTTGTATTCAATTCTAACACACTGAGAAAATGTTTCAACCCTCTGCTCTCTTGCATTGCTCTTTTTTTCTTTCTTTCTTTTGTGTGTTTCTTTAAGTAGGCTTTCAGTCCAAATAATATTGTAGTTATATTATTATCTTGTTAAACTGACGATCATATTTTGTTTGAACACTATGTTACAGTTGAATGATTGCCATAAAGATAACTTGACATTAACAAGGGTACAATACTTGGTACCTATGAGTTTAGCCATTGTGGCCTCATATGAACCACATCGAATTTCATGTGCAAGGTTTTATATCTAGTTCTTAACTTGTTATAATGGTCATTTGACTATTAAACTAAGCCTCAATGCAAATTTGGTATCAAATCCCTATTTTAGCATTTTAATAGTATAATTACAATAATAAAGTACATTGAGGACATAAATTATCAAAACAACTGATATCACACACCCACTTATTTTGCATGAATATGTTCTATACTTTTCCTTGTAATCCATTTTACAAACCATTAGCAGAAGTTTATTGTCCTAGACACTCTACTATTACTAGCATAAGAGATATTTAGGACATAAGAAACAAAAATCTACTAGCAAGGTAAAAGAAACTCACCATAAGTTAGTAGAAGCAAGTATTCATACTTTAGAAACTTTAGGAGGAGAAAGAGAGTATTTACAAAACCAATTAGCAATAGACTTATAAAAAGGTAAGTTCTAGTTTATGATAGATTATTTCATTTAGATTAGTGAGCAACATAAAAGGAAAACCACTCTAGATGAAAATAGTTTAGTTTATTATTTTCACTTACGAAACACAATCATATTTTGCATAGTGAAAAAAAAATCCCAAGTAGATAATATTGTAGACCTTATTGTTAGTCAAACAGAAAATATAAACTAGAACAAGAATAAGCATAATAGTTTATTAAATCAATATATAAAGATTTTTTATTAAGAATTTAGATTATATTACATCTCAATTAGAAAATAATAATGAACATATTCAAAGATTTTCTAGTAAGAAAATAAATAAATAAATAAAAGAGCTAATTGATCTCATAAATATAAACCTAAGTACATTTAGAAATAGTTGAGAAATTAAAACTAAAAGTCCAGAAAATTCAATTAGTACAGAAAAAGTTAAAAAGTTAGTTGAACAACTCTTAGGTTATTTGTTTGATCACTGATTCTCAAACCAATAGAAAATATATTCAAACTTTACATGAAATTAGAAAATTAGATAAGGAACAAGTTGGTTTGACAAATTTTGCAACACAAGTAGCTAAAAAAATTATTTCAATTTAGACAAATAATTTAGTTATCCAGTTAGTATTAAATTTAGCATAAAAATTAGATCAAGTTGATGAACAAATAGTAAATATTATTAAAGTTTTACATAACACATTTTCTTCATTACAACTGTCTTTAGTACAAAAATTAGAAAATCCAACATTGCACATATAACCATATTAGAAGACGTAAGATTAACCTTTTTGATAAATAGAAAATGAAACTTTTCAGAAGAAAAGAAAAAGACATAGTGAGAGCAAAAAATATTTATCCTAAAGAGGAAGAAGCATAATAATTTATTAGATATTTATATGACAAAAATAAAACGACTAATAGGAGAAAGAATTTCGACAAATTGTTGACCCCAACACTTGGAGCTGCCGGAAGAACAATGCATTTCCTAAGACACTTTTTTTCTTTGAGATGCTTTGAGTCTAGTTCTTGCTATAAAATGTTATAAAATGTTGACGTGGCTTAACCGTGACTACACATTACAGGAGGACATAAGGAGAGTATGAAATGGGAGGGCAAACAATCTATCTCCCACCAAGACTTCATTTTCTTCTTTACGGTACAAGCCCGAGATAACCTTCTAACAAATAAGAAATTTTTCAATGTGTCAGGAATACGATCCGGTACTTTAAATGTCATAATACAAGTAGTAATATAATTGAATTTTTTTTCAACTACTTGTATTATAACATATGGTGTATCAAACTTTGTCCCTAGCAAAGTCCCCAACAATGGCGGGTAGGCTAGTTTGCTACGGCAGTCTGCAAGTTCGAAACCTCATTCTGTTTTCAAGTAATTTACATTGTCCTCTTGTTAAAAAACAAAATAAATAAATAAATAAAATAATTGTCCAAGTCAGTGGCATATCCTGTAAATGTGACAGACTTGCAGGGTCGTTTTCCTAACCGGTCATCCTCCTCAACCTCAAACTCCCACCTCCTTTTCTACAGCTTTCAGATAAAATTTTGTTGTTGTGTTTTTTAATAAAAAAAATTCAAGGAAATCAAAATTAGGGTTTGGATTTCCCCAATTAAGTTCCATTGCTTTCAATCAACTCATAATTTGCGCGTGATACGACTCGTTTTGAATTTTGGGTTCTGGGTTAAATATTTTTCGTATCAGAAATGGCAGAATCTGATCACCAGGATTCAATGTACAGCACCGGAGGAGGAGTGACACAGAGTAACCAAGTTGACGACCAAGACGACGACGTTGAAGAGCCCATTGACAACCCTAACATACGCTTCGAAGATAGCACCGCCATTCCTCCAAATCAACTCTACCTTCCCAGCTCCGAATACCCTCCGCCGCCCGCCGCAAACGGTGCCTCTGATCAGCTTACTCTGTCCTTCCAGGGCGAAGTTTATGTCTTCGACGCTGTTTCGCCCGATAAGGTAAGGTTTGGTGCTCAACTTGTCCAGTTTGGCATTCCTGAAATGTCTTCCTTCTTCTCTGAAAGTTTGATTTTTGATCAACTTGTGAGAAAGGGTTGCATAAGGAGCTTGAGCTTTTGTGGTTCTCTTTCACAGGTGCAGGCGGTGCTGCTACTTTTGGGTGGATATGAAATCCCTTCTGGCATTCCTTCCATGGGGCCGGTTCCTCTTAACCAGCAAGTACGTACTTTTAGATATGTATAAATCATGACAAGTTTCTCGAAATCGTAGTTTTTCGGTTGGTTTTAACTTTTATTTTTCTTTTCACTTTGCTGCTGTAATGACTTTTCTTCCAGGGTATGAATGACTTACCTGCAAAGCCAATTCAACCGCAGAGAGCTGCATCTTTAAGTCGGTTTCGCGAGAAGAGAAAAGAACGTTGTTTTGATAAGAAAATCCGTTACACCTGTCCGGAAAGAAGTTGCACTGAGGTATGGCAAGATCATTACTTATTTAATCATTTTCTTTAACTTTTCGTAATTGAAAATTGTTTCTCCTTCCTCTCACACAGACACTCTGTCTCCTTCGGAAATGTATATCATGTTTTTTAACGCTGTTTACCACCACAGCTTTTGATAATATAGTTGTTTTTATTTTATGAGACAAATATATACTGAAGAATGAGAATTGGTATGATATGTAAATTGCGGTCATTAGTGTTCATATGGTCTTGATGCTGGTATGCTCATCATCAAGCAATCTGTACTATTTTAAAGAATAGTAAGATGTCTTCCTTTGAGGAATCTTTGTTGTATAGATTCATGTACATATATATCTTTTAATATTCAACTATTCATATTATTTTCAGTTTGCTAAATTGCAGAGAGAAGAAAAGACATTCCTAAAATTAATTTAAAACAACCCTCGAGTCTGAAAATAAAATGTAAGATGATAATTCCCAAAACTCAGAAGAAACTGAAGCCCAAACGATCACAACCTTACTTCATCTGAGGAAACGTCGACCACTTCTCTATAATTTTCAAAACTTCTTATGTTTCTCCTCCAACCCAAACTAGGCCAACACTGCACGGTTCCATGTAACCGTTTCTTTTTTCCTCCCCCAAAGAGTTAAGTATCTCCCAGGAAGTAGATACACAATCAGCTGGAATTACCACCTCAGACCTCCGCTAAACACAACTTCATCCACAATCTAAAGCAATAGGACAGTGAGGAAATAATCCTCCCTTCTTTTTCATGTTGTCTTTACTTATTGAATAGTATAGATCTTTTTAGACATTTTGATAACCTCATGTCAGGACAATTACCATAAGTTCGTAGCGCATAAGAATCTGTGCGCAAAAGACTGGTTGGATGGTAGATATTTTGTATATGATTTTTTTCTTTCTTTCTTCAGTTGAGTACTTTTAAAATGAAATGTAAAGGTTATCTCATTCAATATCACAGTGCAAATGACATGGATATGAAATGAAAATGAAGTTCATGATTTATGTCGTTACCATAGACCTGATAGACAGCTTAAGGCAAATATTAATGGAAAACCACTTGTCCCTTACTTCTATGCCTTTTTCTTTAATGACTTGACGTTTGTGTTATTTCAGAGTCCTTTTTGTCCTAGCCAACTTTAAATATATGGTGTGTACATATTTCAGAATGCAGCGTAAAAAGGGTCAATTTACATCGTCCAAGGCTAGTTCTGATGATGGAGGCCCTGCTTCATCAACACAGGCCTCTGGTCAAGATGAAAGCATGCGGGAAACTTCGTGAGTGTCATTCATTATTCTCATATTGCTGATTATGTTTTTAGTACAATTAGATTTTTATTTTTGTTGTACTCTAATTGTGTATTTGTTATTTCAAGACAAATACTAAAATCCTGTGTGTTCTGAAAAATAATGATTACTGCCTTTTCAGGTGCACACACTGTGGGATAAGCTCAAAGTCAACTCCAATGATGCGTCGTGGCCCAGCAGGTCCAAGGACTCTATGTAATGCATGTGGGCTGAAATGGGCCAACAAGGTTTGTAGGATTTATAAATCCTTAGTTATTATTGTCTTTTAATCCTCTTTACTATGTATGCATATTTAAAAAGTTATATATGAGTGCAAATTAGACATTATATTGTTTGCGTTGTCATAACTGCCTTGTGGAATATTCAGACGCGTAAATGAGAGAGAATAGATCCATCTAATTATGAGAGACAACATACTTTTAGCCACACAAGAAACATCAAGTAATGAATGCACAATAAGAAATTGATTCTTTACGTGATCTCCACTTCTGCATTCTTTTGTTTCACTTACCTACTTAAAGTGTTTTGAGAGTTTGGGGTTAAATTCTAATTTCTTCTTAACCGCTTATGTCACTTTTCCTCTGTGTAACAAGTGTCCTTAGCGCATCTTAAAGCATTACAGTCATTTATATCAATCCTGAGAACTTCCTGTTGGGGACCTTAGCAGAGAACAATTCTTTGGTCTACAAGTTCTTAGTTGAAATAAGTGACCATTTCTATTCCTTTACATTTTATTCCACGGTTGTGACAAACACCTGCAGTGGGAATGTTTTCCTTTGAAAAAAAAGAAACTTTTATTAATCGCAACCTTTACACCAATGTAGTGGACAATGTGTCCAAGGTCAGAACAAAACAAATTTTTGTCAGCTTGCAAAATTTCAGTCCTGAAATAAAAGAAAAAGGCTGGCTGGCAAGTTACCAATAATCGGAGAGACTTTAGTTGTTATATACTGAAATGAAAAGCTTAGAATGTCCCGATGTAAGACTTCATGCTTTCAACCCACCCCTAATGGATGGATAGAGATAAGCATGTGGATTAATTAGTTCAAGTGTATGGCGAAACTGGACCTGACTTGTAGAATAATTGCCCTCTATAAAATGCATTGTTGAACAATGTTTTTGAATCTTTTGAACCAAAAAATGGAAACAATGTTAAAGGAGTATGTTTACCAATCGTTAGGCTAAGACCATTTCAGCCACCTTGCATCTTATTTGTGTACTATAAATATGATGGAGTTGGCAGCTTTGTTGGTCGCGGATACTGAAACTTTATCGAAAGTGATTGCTGGTGATTATTCACTCATCTCAGTGTATGCTCAACATTTTGCAGGGATCTCTAACAGGTGTTCCTAAGGTTTTAAATGTAGGTATCCACGATCCTTCTTTAAAAGGAATTGAACAGGTACATCATCTCAAGCACCCCCTGAAAAATGATAAGGAAAGTTTTTTATTTTTATTTTTTTATATCTGGAATTTTCTTCATGGATTCATTTTGTGTTGTTGTAAATCAGAGTAACGGCGAAGTTCAAGACTCTGATGTTGTAGCCATGGGTGCCAACGTTGACCCTTCCTCAGCTAATGGCGATAATCCAGCCATGACCGTAGACAGGAAATTGTGAAGTCCCTTGCAGCCTGGTTGTTTTCTGTTTGCTGTATTATTACAGAGGATGTAGATGGAAGAAGTATGTCATCGAGAGTACATACAGATTAGGGACTTAGAGCTATGAATAAGTTGGTTTGAAAACTCTTTATTTTGTGTAATCTTAAGTATTGGGACCATTTAGAAGCTAGCATTTGCAGTAGCAGCGGTAATACCCTTGCCGGTTCTTCCTTGTCTACAATATAATCCATAAAGTTAACTACTAGTGATCAATGCAATCTTTTCCTTTGGTTCGTCAAATGATCAATGTAATCGATGTGTAGCGGCCAAATGATCAATGTATCACTAGACTAATTCTTAGTCTAGTGATAGTATTTCTCTCCTCAACGTTGAAAGAAAACCCAAATTTCAATCTCCCATCACTGTGCATGCTAACATAACAAAGGTTAAAATTCTTATAGCTCTCCATCCCATAAATCTTCAAGTGACTTGTATGGCGATGGGCCGTTCGTTGAAACCAGGTCTTCTCTAAGCATCATTTTGCGCTGCGGGATTTGGTTGATCTTCTCAATGTCATTTTCGGAAAGCTCCCAGTCAAAGATGTCGACATTTTGCTTTAACCTCTCCTTGTTGTAGCTCTTAACAGCAAGTGTTGCTCCTGCTTGATACACCCATCTAATACATACCTGCCAAAAGTACCAATTGTGTGTTTAGGGTTAGGGTGGGATTTCCTCTCCTAGTTGTCTTTGTATTCTTGTAAAGCAAGTAACCTTACCGTCATTGACACCTCCTCGTAACAAATTAAAGAAAATGAATGACAAGGTAATAGAGCATTACTTGAGCGATAGTCTTTCCTCGTTCCTTCGCGATCTCCTGAAGGACTTTACTTTCGAAAACATGATTACTGCCCCAGCACGACCCTATGCCACCCAAAGGAGAAAATGCAGTCACAATTATACCATTGGCTTTGCAGAAATCTCTAAGCTTCTTTTGTTGCCATAACGGGTTCATCTCGACTTGATTCACGGAAGGACGAATTGTAGCGAAAGAGAGTATATTTTCAATCTTTTTGGTAGAGAAATTGCTGAGTCCAATGGATTTGGTGAGGCCAAGTCTCTGGCATTCCTCCATGGCTGCCCACACAGCCTTGACGTCCATGGGCGTAAGGTCCTCTGCATTCAGTGGGTACACCAATGTTCCTGGTTTAGCACTGATGGGCCAGTGAATGAGATATAGGTCTAGGTACTCCAGTTGAAGATTTCTGTACACAATTTAGAGTATTTACATTTTCAGCATTGGATAATATTATCTACATGAGTGCCTCGAGTAAGTTTTGTTTTAGTGGGGATTTTTCGATGCGTTGATTCGGGTGTGATTCTATCTATGTCATTTCGGCTTTGCTTGCACATTCATTATGAATGTGATGTTAAGATTAGTCAAAGAGGAATGTTTTTAATCCATATTCAAATGACATGCTTGTTTTTCATATCGATGTCTCTTGCAATTGAGATACGTAGTACCCTTTTTCATGTTACATTGCTTTTGCATTGCAGCAAAACAGAAAAATTTGAATGCTTGAAATAATTAATGAAAAAATAAAACTATAAATATTGTGATGAGATAGTGAGAGCGGAGTACTCACTGAAGTGATTTGTACAAGGCAGGAACAACAAGATGAGGGTGAGCATCAGTAATCCATAACTTTGAAGTGACGAAGACTTGGTCTCGAGAAGCAACCAAACCAAGTCCAAATGCTTCTTGGATGGCTTCTCCCAGAGTCTGCTCAGACCCGTACATAGAGGCCGTATCAAAGTGCCTGTAACCGAGCTTGATGGCTTCGACAACCGCTGTTTTCAGAACATGAGGTTGTAACTTGTCCGCTGCTGTGCCGAAGCCAATCACCGGCATGCTCCTCGAGCCGGTCGCCGATGCCAGCACCACCTCTGGGATTTTGTCTGCAGCTGCCAACACATCTGGTGCATTCGCCATCTTTTGTTTCTTCTCTATGAAATGATTTTTTTTTCTTCGTTATTACAAGTAATATTTCAAGCTAATTTTTCTTTTCTTGGTATAAAATAAAGTTGCTTTTAAACGTCTAAAATTAATTAATTGTCGGATTTTTTTTGTCAAACTTGGTTGGAAACCGAAATAGGATTATATAACTCTCCTCTATGAGGCTGTTAGGATAATTGATTATGTTATTAATTAGGCTGAGTTAAGAACGGTTGAAGAAGTAAAAGTGAACGTTCCCGATTTGCCATTTTCTTTCTTTCAGTTTTTTAGATTTTAAAAAAATTAGTTTTACGTGATTTTCTAGTGAGGTTGCCATCTTCCTTCCTGCACTTCACAACTATGATCCTCTCCTGTATATGTCAAATGAATGTCATTATTCTTCTGCATCGTTGCATCGAACCAATTACAAACAAAAATGATCTTTATATTCATGTGAATCAAAATCTTATACTTTTTTTAGTACCGATCAGCCAATCCTAACCCCCTAGGCCATCTCTAATCAAGAGGGTTAAAGATACAAAAGTCAAAATATGATATGATTTGTCTAAAAAAATCATCTTCAACTGATGACCAAGCTATAATTTTGTGGAGTCCACCAAGTCATTATTTAGCCAAAGGATCATCAATCTGGCCAAATGTAGCCCCCCTTAGCCCTTTTTTGGTACCTAACTATAATTGATTCAAATTCAACAGGTATATTTAAAAATTCCAAAGGTAGTTTAATTAAATTAACCAATAAATTTAAAGTATAAACTTAAAACTAATAAACTATTAAGGGAGCTATGTTTAGCCCCTTCGGTTGAAGATGATATATGAGTATGGTCTAACACGTTTATTTAAAATTAATTTTATACAAGACTATAATTTTGGATGGAGTTATATTTAGTCCTTTCAGTTTGGAATGATCTTATACGAAGATTTCTTGACCGTTGGTTCATTCCCAAGGGAAACTAGTTAGAAAGCCATGGGAAAAAGGTGTCTTACACAAACTGATTAAATGGAATGAATTATCTTCATTTTTAATATTTCTGGTGGAATCTGGAGCTTCTTTTATGCCTCCATTATGATTTATTCTTGACTTCGCTACTGTATAATGTGCTTTCAGGGCTTATTTTTTATGATAGCCGATTACTAGTTATTTGAATTTCTTTTCAGATCAAGAAATTAGTTACTCAAAAAGACATATCAATTTGACAACTTAATGTATTTGTTATGTTCTTATTGGCTTTCATGCACGTGCTCACGCGTGTGCATAAGGTATTTTTTGAATCATAACATGCTACACGCGACTTACACATTTTAAATGTATTCATATGCATGACTTAACAAAAGGAAAGTCAAATATTTGAAGTAAATGAATAATCTTAGATCATGCTAGAAAAAACCCCTCACAAACCAATCAAAGCAGCTAAATTCACATAATAAAATCGGTCTTTCAATTTTCATCTACATTCTATTGAATTCACATTAAGAATAGAGAAAATAATATTTAATAAACAACTGATTGAATCACATTATTGCTAGCCCATTATAAGGCCAAGCCCACCCTCTCCATCTTAGTGTAGATAATATCGTTTGTCAAAAAAAAAAAAAATAATAATAATTTGACAACTAATTTAATCATATTATTATGATCATACGAAAGACCTTTTTTATAACCGGTATTACATGTTTCTTAAGATGTTTTGAACGTGTTTAAAAATAGATAAAATAATATTTAATGAACAATTTATTGAATCACATTATTGCTAGCCTATTGTGAGGTACTAATTAAAAAAAAAAACTACACAAAAATAATTAATTATTAAAAAAAAACACTGTTAAAATGACAAAAATACACTGCATTATTTTGAGCTGCTTTTGAAATTTTTTGTTTTGAGAGCATTTTTGTCCAAAATTTTTGGTGAAGCTTGTGACCCCAAAAGAGATTATTGGCTTTATATTTAGAGATTAATGAAATATCCGTCAAAAGAATAGGATAAAAAAAGCCCAAGCAAATTAAAGACCCATTAGTGATATGAACTTAATATCGCATGCGGTGTATCATTGAAACATAGAATGTGTATATGCTCCTAATTGATGCATACTAGGCTAATAGCAAACTGATACTACATATTTCTTCTGTTGAGAGTGAATCCAACTTGATGGGAGAAATGATCTTGCATGGGTTATAAGTAAGTTGAGCTACTCCTCATACTGTCAATTAGTTTTATGGTAGAACCTCAACTTTCTTCATGGTATCTGAGCAAGTTGTCCTATATGTGAAGCGTAACGGCCACACGTCCTCTATGTCATTCGAATTGTGTTATCCACGTGTTAGACTTAAAAATTTGCCACATGTGAGGGGATGTGTTGAGAATGAATCACACATTATTATTTTTTTTTTTGTCAAAATGGATCCCACATTGATTGGATGAGGGACCTTATCTAGGCTTATAAGTAAGTTAAGTTACTCCTAATACTGTCAACAATGGCGGAGCCATAAAGTATTCGGTTGGTAGACTAAGCTAAAGGGCTGGAATTTAATACTATTAAATTCTTGAACTGATCAATTTATTTAGCATTTAATTAATCCTTAGTTTTTCTGAAAGTAGTTATATAGTTGAGACTTTTTATTTGCTACAGTCCACTGGGGCCTTGTACTTTGCTCTTCTAGGCGACTACTAATTGATTTTACGGTGGAATCTCAACTTTTTTCACCTTTACCAGTGATTGAATTCATGGTAGGAGTTTCATCACACCATTTGAAACGTTCTTGTCTCTCTTAATTTTTTGAAGCCATAAAACCATTAAACAAACCAGTTAGAAATAAATCTCCAACACATTCTTATATATTGTTTGTTGAACACTTGAAAGGGCATTCTTCTTGAAAATCCATCCATTCTGTTAGTAGGATTTCGATCCAAATTTCTTAACCTTTCCTCATTGAATCATCGAGTATGTCCGTGATCGAAAGCTCGGAGCAACGGCATGTTGCTGTTCTTGCATTTCCATTTGGTGGCCACATTAAGCCCCTGCTTAACTTGGTGTGCAGGCTAGCTAGCAGCACATCCCCAGATATGTGTTTTTCTTTCCTCAACTCAGAAGGATCAAATAACCTGCTATTTTCGGAGAAATCAGAATCCAACATTCCTAGCAACATAAAACACTACAATGTGTCAGATGGTGTACCTAAAAATCATGTCTTGAAAGGGCATCCAATGGAGGCAGTGGAGCTATTCCTCAAGGCCACACCTGCAAATTACAAAATTGGAATAGAGAAGGCGGTGGCGGAGACAGGCAAGAAG